CACAATGATAAGAACCCTCATTTTAAATCTATGCTTAAGTTTACCTGAAACTCTGTAAGTAGTGATTGTATTGGTTTTGCATTTGTAAATTTGTCAAATGGGTTTAAAACTTATATGCCTAAAAATCCTCAAGTTTAAGTTCAGCTTTATAACCGGCAATCTAACAGTAATAAGCCATGTCTCGAGCTGCTTATTAGTTATTACAATACTTTGTTCATTATTTAGTGATTGGTTACCGTTATGAACTTTCATAGTAGCTAGCTTATACCAAGCAGGCAGAATCTGTTTGCTGTTATATTTTTTTTCTTTCTAAATTTGACATTATTTTCAGTGTTAAATTACATGTCATTTCGGTGAATAACTTTGTTTAATTTATTACTCTCAAATATGGCACCCTAGTTATTTTACTGTTAAAAGTTGCAACCGTGAAAATCTGGAACTATCTGTTCAACTAGGAGTATGGGCAACTCAGAAGCAATGAGGCTAAACTGAATGCTGCTTTTGATTCTGCTGAAAATGTGATTTTGGTCTTCTCCGTTAACCGTACCCTGCATTTCCAGGTAATTCAGAAATCTAATATCCTATATCTAATCAATTTGGGAACCCATACATGTGTTATTCTGAAATAACTTGTTACCTGTAGGTCTTGCATTACTATCTTGTCAGTTCTCAAGTAGGTCTTATGTATTACCATTAGTCCAAAATGTTGTCTTTTTATGTCTGTTGTTTTAGGTATTACATTGTCTTGTCTTATTAGGGTTGTGCCAAGATGACATCCAAAATTGGTGGATCTGTTGCTGGAGGCAACTGGAAACATGCTCATGGAACTGGACTTTATGGACGAAATTTCTCAGTAAAATGGTTAAAGATGCATTTCTTCATCCCCTCCCCTCCCCTTTCAGAACAAAATTTTCTATGAAGCGAAGTTTTAAGCAGCTAAAAGGTTTTCTATGAAGATATCCTTAGCATGTTTTTTAAAGATTTGGGACATCTATACAGCTTTGCCTAATGATCCACTAGTTTTGTTAAGTTCATGGTCTGATTTGAAGAAAAACTCACACATATGGAAATTCATCCCGGGAGTAGTTCTTTGGTCTATTTGGAAAGCAAGGAATTCAATTGTGTTTGATAATTCTAGCCTTGATATAACCTCTCTCTTCTTCCTAATAAGATTTAGGTTGGCTCAATGGTTTTTAGCTAAGTTTTCCCATATTCAAATTCAAATGGATTTGTTGGTAGGGGACCCCTCTCTTGCAGATAGGATTGTTATTCAGAAAACTCACAGAAGTTTGATACAAAGTTGGCATCCTCCACCAACTGATTTTTATAAAGTTGGCTGGAGGAATTGGAGGTATTTTGAGAGATTGTAATTGTATTATTTTATCGACTTTTTCTATTAGTATTGGTCCAGGACCACCTCCGTTGGCTGAGCTGAAAGCAATTAAAAAAAGTCTAGACATTTTTCTATCATCAGATTGGGCTACAAAGGGAAGACTGATTCTAGAAAGTGACTGCAAATCTGTAGTCGACTCGATATTACTGCCTAATTCTGTTCCTAGTTTTTTCAATTCCATTGTTTTGGATATTGTGTTCAGAGTTCAAGAGAGGGTGGTTATTATTCGATGGATTCCTAGGGGTTGTAATTAGAAAGCAGATAAATTAGCTAAGGATGGGATCGAGTAATTGTAAGGGTATATCTATAGGGTGCTTTATGGATTTCAGTTTTATTAGGATACCCTCTATGTATTGGTGTACTCTTTTGTAATAGTTATATATTCAATAAATCAAGCCACTCTTTTCCTCTTTCCGCTAGTTATTCTTTTCTAGAGTTAACTAAGAGGGAGGTTTTTAATGAGGCCTATTATTCCTATCAAAAAAAATATTGCTACATTTTTACTGGTTGATTAGTTCAGTGCCTTGATTGCCTTGTGTTTGTGAGATTTTGATGACTAATTGCTGCTTGATTAGTGGTGTAAATGAAAAAAGCGTTCAGTGAACTGTTCGTAAATCGTTCGTATAATGTTCATTTATGTTCGCTTGTTAAGCTAAATAAACAAATATGAAGAAAAAATTATGTTCATTTAATAAACGAATGAATAGGAACAAAGTGTGTTTGGTTCGTTTATGTTCACGAACAAGCTCGTTTATTTATGTTCATAAACAACATCGTTTATCCGGTTCTCATTTTCCTTTTATTTTATTTTTTACATTTTAAATATTGTTGAAGGTAGGGACTAAATTAAATACATGGTAAAAGTTGAAATTTAAATTGTGGATTTTGAGGAGTTTAAGCACTAGTGGTGTAATTTTACCATTTTCTTTAGCTTGCAAATGAAAGATAAAACTAAAAATTGAACATATAAATGAACATTGAATTAACACTAAACGAACATGATCGTGAACGCTAAATTAACATGTTCATGAACATATAAACGAACAAGTTCGATAACGTTAAACAAACAAGTTCGATAACGTTAAACAAACATGTTCGTGAATAATAAATAAACGAAGACCAACACTTTCAAAAATAAATAAACGAGCACGAACACGATATTGAAAATTTAAACGAACACGAACTGAACATGAACACATTAAAAAATAAACAAACAAACACAAATATAGTATTGTTCGTTCAAGGTCGGTTCATTTACACCCCTATGCTTGATATGTAGTTATGTGAGCTGTCCAACAAAATTCGCCATTTGAGGAACCCCTACAATGAGAACTTCCCAGTATAGGTATGATTCCAGCATTGGAAGGTTAAGCCTTAATGATGATCGATGATATTTTATGTCAGCAATATTTTTGTCATCTTATTAGGTTAATACTCCAGTTTATATGAATTATTTATCTGCTTCTACCATGTATCGTTTATCTTTAATATAGTGTCTGCAATAGACAACAATATCACAATGTTTTATCATGTGATGCTGTTTCTGTTATATTTGGAGTGATTGTAGTTTAACCTTATTGATGCACTTTGTGCACTTGCAGATAAGCAGAGATTGCCAAGAGTTAGAGCCTTCTGTTGGCGAGCAGTTGGCCTCCTTGCTTTCTCTTGAACCAGATTGGGCGCTTATGGTATGTTTATTGTATTTTACTGTTATGATATCTGATTTTGATAACAATAGAAATAGAATTATTAGAATAAGTATGGGAAAGTTGAAAAAGAAGGAATGAAAGAGAGGGAAGCAAATCTTGTGTTCTCGTGCTTGCTTGAATTCTAGTTAGTATGATCTCTTTTACATACCCAAATATGAGGTCCTTGTATGGTGTATGGGTTAGAGACACATACGGGCTAATAGCCTCCTAATAAATCAGACTGTGAAGGTGACAGTAGTGATAAGATTGTATGGACTCGAATGTTTTGGGGAGTCGAGTTCTGATGTGCTAACCAACTGAGATGCATATTGCAACTTGCAAATAGTTTGTGGAAGTATAAGATTATTATTGTTTCAAACTACTTAAAGAAGATAATGCAGTTGAGACATCTTAGTTTGGGTTATAGCATTGCCTTCATTTTACCATGCTTTTAATTTGAGGATATAATAGGAGGCTGCATAAGTCTGACATTTTGACTTGCCTTTCATTTTATTGGATCCCCTATGTGAATGAATCTCTTATCTTGTATTCATTTGTTTAATCCCATGGGGTACAGGCAATTTCACTGGAAGCAGAATCAAAACGTGAACATGAGAAAGCAAAGGGAGTCAATTCAAATAATATAGAGAACCCGAACATTGTTCCATTTTAGGACAATGAAGAAGAGGAAGAGGAAGAGGAAGAAAGTGAGGAGGATGAAAGCTTCAGTTCTGCGGCTCAGGGAAGAGGAAGAGGCAGAGGAGTAATGTGGTCCCCTCACATGCCCCTAGCCCGTGGTGACCTATGCTTGGGATGCGAGGCTTTCCATCTATGGTGATGGGTGGTGATGGCTTTTCATATGGACCAATTGCCTCTGATGGTTTTGGGATGCCAGATCTTTTTGGTGCTTCCCGTCCTTTTGCTCCGTATGGACCCAGGTTTTCTGGAGATTTTACAGGTCCTGCATTTGGCATGATGTTTCCAGGACGATCTCCACAACCTGGGGCAGTGTTTCCATCTGGTGGAATGAGTCCTCCATTTATGACAGGTGCAAATCCTGCTCGAGGTGGCTGGCCCGTTGGCATACGTCCTATGTTTCCCCTACCTCCGGCATCTTCCTCTCAGAACTCTGGCCAGGCTATTAAAAGAGATCAGAGGACACCAACCAATGACAGATCTAGTGCAAGATTAGAGCAGGGTAGAGGCCAGGAAGTGGCTGGGATGATTCGACACTGTACTGCAAGAAGGAATAAAGGCTCGCAAGGAAGATCAGTTTGCTGCTTGAAACAGCTTCAGGAATGACGACAATGAAATCGAGGATGAGGCACCCAGGAGGTCAATGCATGGGGAAGGGAAGAAGAAACAGAGAAGTTTGGAAGGAGATGTTGCCACTGCTTCTGATCGCTAGATGCGATGCAAACCGTTATCCGAGTTCTTAGACCTTCTTTCAACCACATCGTGTACACATTTTTCAGCAACTGACTTGCATATCTATAGATTGTTTCATCTTTCAATTGTCATTTTGGAGAGCTGGAGAAAAGCTTAGGTTTAGATTATGTTTTGGTGCATTTGTTTTGCTTCAGAATGTCCATCTATATTGATTATTGTTTATAATTATGCACCAGATCACGAGAAAGTGTTGTAGATACATCTATAAGCCTACATGCCACAATGTATGACTTCTTATGATCGCAGGATTAAAACATGAAAGTAATAGGGAAAGAAAAAAGAACAAAAATGAAAACGATTGAGTTCAAAGAACAAAAATTCACTATATTTAATCACAATATTATTATGCAAACACTTTAAAAGGGCTTATCTGGTGTCAATGATTGAGTTTTCCAATTATTGAATAACACATTGCACAATCAATATACACCAGTAACAATTAAGCCAACATTCTCTTGCAAGTATAATCGAATATTATCTGGAAAAGAAATGGGGAACCTTGATCTTCATGCAATTTTAGAAGACGAGCAACTTTGGAGACTACGGCATGGTGTGTAAGTAGGGAGTCTGCCTTCACTAGGGGTTTTAGGTCCTGCTTTGGAAGTTTTGGTCTTGATAAGGCCCATTGCATTGCCCATATGGCCAACGGACGCATGTAAGTTGGAGATCTATATTGATCCTCTGTGTTCCAACCTTCCGGGGTTTGAAATGAGTAACTGTCAACAGATAAGCAACATGGTGAACAAATGAATATTCAAACAATAATCTCTTAACCTAGATCTCAGTGATAAGAAGAGAATGCTCCAAGTTCGAACAACTACGTTTTGTAAAGTGTGTGCGTTGCCTGACTATAGGGTGTTGCTTTGTTGAGTCCCTCGACCATTGAAACAAAATGATCCTCTGACTATAAGATGTTTAGTCACATGATCATTCATATGTTCTAAATTCGTCATTTTCCGTTGAAAAATTGAAGACCGTTTGAGTTGGACGTTATCCTGCTCACTGGAATATGGTAAAAATATGATTTCATAACTGTTTGAGTTGTATTTTGTTGATCGAGTCTCTTTTTACATTATGTCATTGAATCAATGTTGAAAGTAACAATGGTGCCAATAGCTATAATTAAAATATGATTTTATCATATTTCAATCAAGAAGTTAATATCTAGATCAGACGACCATTAAACTTTTAACGGAAAAAAACAAGTTTGGAGCATATTACTTTTTACTAGTCATGTGACCATTTTGTAACTTTTAATAGCCGTGCTAACACCCTATAATCGGAGAACCATTTTATAACTTTTAATAGTCGTGAGACTAAATTAAGCAACATCTTATGTTAGGGGATTATAATCACCCCATTCAAAGGCAACTTTCACAATCTGTGAACCCATTCGATTTATTTCTTATGCTACTCAAACATTAGGGGGAAGCTTTCCACAAAAAATCATACCACCAACTACAGGAAACAAAGAGGGGAAAGTCAATCTTACCCAAGTCCTTCTTCAGACCACACTGATTCAAAGATTCCACTTGCAGTATGAAATGCCATATCCACCAAATCTTCATGGAACTTTATTGCAACCACTGCATATGTAACTCCAGACCATATGTCTCTCGATTGCATCGACGATATATCGACTCTTCCACCAGGCAGCATCCCGTTTACAGCCCCCCGCTTCCCACCTTTCACTTTAAGACATTGTAACTGTATACCTTCTCTAACGTGCTTCTTGCTTTGTCCTCATCAACAATTGGAAAAAGACCACATGCCCTTGCATACCTACAAAGGCATTGTAATTCATTACCTCATGAACAGAACAATATAAAGAGATTTAGCTGGGATGAAAAGGAACAGTGCAACAAAATGAACAGCAATAATTGTCTCAAGCCTACATTATTCTAAATCTCAATATTCATGCTTAGACCTAAAACATTATATGATGGATGCATGCCATTAAGAAGGTACTAATGTTTCTAATCAGAATATGAAATGAGAGAAAATCCTACGTTCAAACTAAAGAAAATGATTTAAAGTGCAAATAAAGAAGTATAAATTTCTAACCAAAATCATTTTCTAGATTATGGAAAAAGTAATAATGAACTAGAAGTTTTAAGTTACGTCCACCGTTATGGACCATTGGCCAGCCAACTGATCAGCCTGAATAGATGAACTTGTGCGACTACCACTGTCGTCGTAATTGAAGTAAGAGCCATTCCACAATTTATGATAGACACCTTTTGCTTTCAGAAACTTGTACCAAAAATAATCTTCAGAACCCTCGTCTCCTACTTCACGTGCCAAAGCAGATGCAGTCTGTAAGGCTGCTACCCAGAGCCCACCACTATAGGCACTTACACCAGACAAGGACCATGTATCGTATGTCTTATCAGGGAAGCCTCCATTCTCAATCATCCCATCGCCATCCTCGTCAAATTGTCCCATATAAGCCATTGCAACATAAACTGAGGGCCAAACAGCTTCTGCAAACTTCTTGTCACCGGTGGCAATGACATCCCTGTAAACAAATTTTGGATTCAAGTCTTTCCATCGATCAGTGTCGTAAAGGCAGTATGCGTTAACTTCAAACCACGGGTCATCAACTCCAACATCATGTGGAACAGCTCCAAGAACTTTTCTTGGAACCAGTTGTCCATCATTTAAAAGTTTCATCTTACTAGGATCATGCATTATTACCGCAGCAGCAAAATCTCTTCTCATACTGAGCTGAAGTTCCGGAAATAACATGATTAGTGCAAAAGATGCATAAAAGTGGACATCATAGGTGTTCGCCCGGGCACGAAAATTTTACTCGGCGGGAAAAGTGATGTGAATAAATGGTTTTTAAAATGTTTTGGGAGTCACCATCGGCCTCTTGGGTCAGGTAGGTCGAATACCTAAAAATTATCTTTTAAAAGAGTTTTTAAGAAAACATCAGTTAAAAGATAAACTGATCTGCGTTTTAACCAAAAATTCATTCTTTTTAATAATAAAAAGGGATTCGTGGTCGGTTACGTTTAGGGAAGGATTAACACCCCTACAACGCCCAAAATTGGTACTTTTTAATTATAAATTGTCTCTATTATTAGAAATTTAAAAATTCAAAGATATATTTAATTTATAATTCTGTTTTTCAAATTTATAATTTTACAAAAATATATTAATATATAAATATAGGAGATATTTACTTATTTAGAAATATCAGAAAAGGGCTTCTATGTGCTTTAAGACAACTCTTTTCTTCGATATTAAAAAATAAATAAATATCAAAATATGATTATTTTTCTTAAAAGTAATTTATAAAATTAAATTTATAAATAGGATTTTTATTTTAAAAAACAAATAAAAATAAATAAACAAATATTATTTATTATATATATTTATATGAATAATAATAATAATAATTAAATATATTTAAAAATAAACATATAAAATTAAAATAAGTAATGACTGAAATAAATAAAATTAAAACTAGGGTATTAAAATATAAAAAACGATAAACTAAAATTAGGGATTAAATTATAACTTGTTAAAATTAAATGGTCTAATTCAAAATGTCATAAATCTAAGTGCTAAAGGTGCAATTTGTCCTTAATTAGTTATTCAGGACTAAAATATAATTAATTAAAATGATAAGGGACTAAATCAATTATTTACCTTAATATATATAAACATTGATAATGACTAAATTATAAATTAAACAAAATTTGAAGACTAAATTAAACTAATCAAAAATTGCTTTCAGTGACTAAAATGCAAAGTTACATTCTTGGAGTGACTGCGGGTATAGTTTACCTACGTGGGAAATTACACAAATACCCTCCCCCAAAATGGCATCGTTTGGGAGAGGGTTTTTAAAACCCTAAATGGCTGACCCTTCGGGTCAGCCTCTCATTTTCTCCCTTTCTCTTTTCTCTCTAAAAATGAGAGAAGAAATTCTCTCTCGTCTCTCTCTTGCTTCCCTCACCAGAGGGAACTCCGGCAGCTTCCGGCCACCATACCCTGGCGTTAGACGTCGCCGCCGGCCACCGTGAGCGGTGGCCGAAACTATACAATCTTATACCAAAAGGGAGAGCTAAACACCCCTAATACCGAATCCAACCTTACTTTTCCTTAAAAAGCTCCTAATCGGAGCAGATATACAAGAATACCTTCGGGTTTTGGTGGTTTCAGGCGACGTTTGCTCTCCTCTGTGGTAAGTTTCTTTTACCTTTTCTTCTTCCCTCGATTTGTTGTTGACTGAGATCGTTGGTAGTTTGTTGTTGTTGTGTTCTGTTATATGTTTTTCTTCGTAGCTGTATGTTCTTCTCCGTTGTTGTTTGTATCTCTCTCCATCCTAGTTGGTTGCTTCCTCTCTTTCTGTCCCTCCTTTTTTTTGTTTGCAGGGGAACCGAGGCTTTATAGCCTCGGTGAGGCTCTCGTCGGACCAGTCCAGAGGATGAAAGCCTTGGTGAGTCACCAAAGCTATGTTGGTGACTCACCGTAGAGGCGACGTTTGTGGCTGTCATCGTGGCAGCAGAGCTTCTGGAGGCTTCAACGACGAGGTGGTGTGGCACTGGAGTGTCGACAGTAGCTGTTGGACCACCTGGCAGAGACGTGGTGTTGGCAGCGGCGGCTGGAAGCTTGAGAGGCGGCTGGGGTCTTCTGGAAGTAGCGGCGGCTGGGACATGTCCCTAGGGTTATGATACCCTAGGGTTTCCTTACTGGACTGCATCAGGACCGTTAGATCAGATTAGATCCAACAGCTGAGGATCTGAGGCGGCTGAGATGAGATGAAGGAAACCCTAGTAGTTGAGGGTTCTACTGGGCCATCTGGTCTGGTTCAAGTTGGGTCTGGGATTTGTATTTGGGCTCCCGGGATCTGGGCTTGTAATAATTATTTAATAATAATATAATATATATAATATAATAATAATAATAATAATAATTTTAATAATAATAAATTAAGTAAAATGAAAAAAAATAGTGTTTACAGCTGCCCCTCTTTGCTCATTCTTGTGTTAACAAGAATAGAGCAAAGACGAAAAAACAATAATTTTTCATTTGACTTCTTTTGAGTAAGACTGAAATGTTGAAAACATCATTCCAGAGGTCTTAACAACATCATGCACTGAAGGGCTTACAGATGACCCGAAGGTTTTAAAAACATCATAAAGCTCCCGAAGGCTTTTTGAAAACATCATGCACTGTAGGACTTACAGATGACCCTAAGGCTTTGAAAACATCAAAAAGCTCCCGAAGGCTTTTTGGAAACATCATGCACTGTAGGACTTACAGATGACCCTAAGGCTTTGAAAACATCAAAAAGCTCCCGAAGGCTTTTTGGAAACATCATGCACTGTAGGACTTACAGATGACCCTAAGGCTTTGAAAACATCAAAAAGCTCCCGAAGGCTTTTTGGAAACATCATGCACTGTAGGACTTGTAGATGACCCTAAGGCTTTGAAAACATCAAAAAGCTCCCGAAGGCTTTTTGGAAACATCATGCACTGTAGGACTTACAGATGACCCTAAGGCTTTGAAAACATCAAAAAGCTCCTGAAGGCTTTTTGGAAACATCATGCACTGTAGGACTTACAGATTACCCTAAGGCTTTGAAAACATCAAAAAGCTCCCGAAGGCTTTTTGGAAACATCATGCACTGTAGGACTTACAGATGACCCTAAGGTTTTGAAAACATCAAAAAGCTCCCGAAGGCTTTTTGGAAACATCATGCACTGTAGGACTTACATATGTGGGAAATAGTTTACTAAGTAAGAAACTATGAAAATTGTTTTCTTACTTTTCAACAATTTCATTTTTAGAAAAGATTGAATGAGAAACTATGGAAATCGTTTTCTCGTTATTTTTCAAAATAACATGTTGATTGGGTAACATGACCCAATCTCAAGATAATGTTCATTCTTGTGGATTGAGTCCATCTATTCTTCATATGTTGGCGTGATTCCTGCATTTGCGGTTTTGAATACCTTCTTCTTGTAAGGTACTTTTTACCATGAATCTTCTTGTTCTTCCGAAGATCTATAAAACTTTATGTTTGAATGCACTCAGATGTATCAATGTAATGCATTGTCTATTGTGTAAATGATATTCTTATGAATGCATGAATGTTGATGCAATCTTCATTTGACTTCAAAGTGGTGAACTTGGTCTTCCTTCACTTCATCATTTATTGCCAGGGTTACCTCTGGATATCAGTGTAGAAAATTATGCTATCAAGCTTGCATTTCTACAGAATCATTTGATCAACTTGTATCTTTGCATCTTCTTTGCTTCATTAAAGTCTCATAAGAAATGTTTCATTTGTGGAACTCTTGCTGTAGTCAAAATTATGACCCTGATGCCCTATTTTGTCATGGATAAAACCAACTTTATTTGCTTGGACTTGTGTATAAATCCCATAAAGCTTTCATCTTTGAAAAGAGAATCTATCATCTTTAAAAAGAGAATCTATTATCTTTGAAGAGTGTAGATGTAGATATGTCTGACTCAGCGGGGATTAATTAGGGAAGTAGAGTCTGTTCTGATTTGACTCTTGAAACACATCATAAGGAGAATTTATCTCAATTCCTTTCATGTCCCCACATTTAAATGGTTCTTGAACAAGGCAACTTGGACCATATCATGTCGAGATGCTTAACAACAACCTATCGTTCAACCTTAGTTGGCTCCACTAGTTTCTTGTTGTTAAAATTTCAGCTCTCCTTCTGCGGAAAGAAATCTTCATCATATCTCAACTTATAATCTTGAAGTTGAAGAAGACAAACTTCATCTTGGATCAAAAATGGAAACCATATGATCACAACATTGGTTCAGCATCAGAATAACTGGTTCGTAAAACATTTGACAACACATGCATCATCTCATGTGGTTTCTGCTCAGATGTAAAACACTTGACAACACATTCATCCTTTTCTGTGGTTTCTGCTCAGATGTTCGTAAAGCATTTGACAACACATTCATCCTTTTCTGTGGCTTCTGCTCAAATTTCTCAATCATTGAAGCTCTTTTCCTAGTGTTCAAAGTTTTTGTATGATGTCACAAGATCACTTGAGAACAAAACTCAATGGGAATACAAGTGAAATATTGGTATGACCAAAAAAGTTGGTCAAATTCACAAAATGTGCTGGTGTCGAATTGAATAGGAGACACTAATTGCTCTTGATATCATCTCGTGCAAGGGCAAGTGTGATACTGATCACGTTTTCTTCTGTAATGAGCATTGTAGAAAGTAGAAACACTTCAGTTATAGGATCCATGTACAGAAAGATGTCCTTGGAATTCTTGTTGCTGGGGATGAAACGTACATGATAAACCCAAAATAGATAAAATTTCAATTCATCCTGGCAGGCAATGATAACCCCAGTAACAATGGGAATAACAGTAATGTAAGTGAGTCGAGTCTCCCTTTCCAATGTCATCGATTAAGCGAAAACTATTGTGAAAAACAGCTTCGTAATCCCAACAGTATGGTTGAAACTAACAGCTAGGAATCTCAAAGAAATATTTTCAATTGTCACCGACACAGAGAATGTAAAATTCAAAGCCGAGATCTTGAAAAACTGAACCCTGGATCGAGTAATTTACCTGGGGATCATCTTTATTCATGCAATCATGATATAGTTTATCAAAGAACACACTGTCATGTGACACATGGTTTAAGAAGATTGTGTATTTGAAACCATACTTGTTGAGTAGATATTTGTTCAACAACATGATCATAATGTAACTGCCAGATGAACGAAGCAATTATGTATAGTCAGCTCGACTATCACTGTTTCACCATTTTCATTCTTCATATCTTTCCGTCTCTTTGGAAATATTTGCTCAAGTCAATGATCTTGACACAGGATGATATGGGCCTTCAGCATGCCCCAACATTGACTAATACAAGTGTTCAAAATGCATCAACAGTCCTGATTCTGATTGAAAGGGGCTTTCAACATGCCCCAGCATTTTGTTGATATAAATATTCAAAATACTTTAATATTCTTGATTTTGATTGAAAAGGGTTTTCAGTATGCCCCAACATTTTCTTCTTGTTAATTTGAGCCTTCAAAATTCCCCACATAGATCTGTCTGAAAGAACCTTTAAAATGCCCCAACATTTGCTAATACAGATGCTAAAAGTATGCTCGACATTACTTCTTGTTGAGATGAGCTTCCAAGAATGCCCTACATGGATCATTTCTGTCTGAAATGGCTTTTGAGATACCCCAAATCTGTTTATCTTGAATACTCTCATTCTGGTGTCACTAAACAGCAGTAACTGGAGGAATTCTCTTCATGTTTTCAAAAACTTATGAAGTGCTCAATCATTCTGACAGAAACGTCTGAGATATGTGAATGAGGTGATCATCTTCTGGATATGGAGGAGTCTAGTCAGACAGAGCGGTATAAATCGCTTGGTAATCCATTCTAGGCCGATATAGTGGCTTATCATCTTTCAGTGAAGGCTATTTCTGGAATATACTTTTCTGTAGAAGAGAAACCAATTTATGTGAACAGTAATCTGATGCAATAGCAAGACTACATATACAGTGGTATAGGCTCTTGAAACATCCACACCCATGCAACATGTTAATTATGATAACTACTCATCTGATTATGAAGCGATCTTTCAGGATGATTTCACAGATATTGATAGTTCTTCTGATATCGAAGAAATCCTGAATTCTGATTCTGATGAGGAGAATAAACTGTTATACTTGACGAAAATGGGGGGCTTCAATAGCCATGAAGAGATGTGGTCTGAATTCATCTATTGCAGAGTTGACAGATTTTATATGTGATGTTCAAATATCAAAGGCTGCTAACGCACTTCTTCTGATAGAAGATAGGAATCCATTATGCAATGATCCTAATTACAAGAAAAGACTAAACTCGAGCTATGATTTTTGGGAAAGGAATAAGCAGAAGAAGCTTGAAAATAAGCTTCTTAATGAAGACGATCATTCAGTTCATCTTTTAATTCCAATGATTGGTTCTGGGGTTCCTACCGAACCAGATCAGATAACTCAAAGAACACTCCCAGAAAATGCTATTGGGCCTCCTTATTTCTACTACGAGAACATGGCACTTGCTCCAGTTAGTGTTTGGACCGAAAGGTCACGGTACTTATACGATGTAGAGCCAGAATTTGAAGATTCGAAGTATTTTCATGCTGCTACACTGAAAAGGGCTATGTTCATAATCTGCCAATTGAGAACATATTTCCTTTTATTCTGCTTCCTCATTGCGCCATACATGATGCTTTTTCATTGACACAAAATGGTGGCCTTTATGGGCTCCCAGAACAAAGTTGAACTGTTTACAAACATATACAGGAAGTGCCAAATTGACAGAAAGATCCATAAGGCTCTTGAAGCTTATGACGATGAGCCATCTTCGAGTGTCCAGAAATATGTTCTTGATGAGTGCTGAAAATGGAATCTGGTATGGGTTGGAAGGAATAAAATTACTCCACTTGAACCTGATGAGGTGGAAATGCTTCTAGGTTTCCCTAAAAACCATACACGAGGAGGAGGATCTGCTAGAGACATGTTCCCCGGTGGTATCAATGTTCTGTCTCTTTTCTCTAGAATCAGTGATGTAGAGGTTGCCTTCTACTGTCTTGGCATACCTTTGAAAACAGATGTGCAAGAACTGAATGATGATCGGTTAGAGCAATTGATGAGTAGATTTGTCGAATTCGACCTTGTTATCGGTGGCATTCCATGTAACAACCTTTTCTTGCAATGGCTGCTAAAGTGACTGTCTTTCAGTATCTCCCTTTAGAACAAGGTAATCATTCTTGATAATTTGCTGATAATGTCACAGAAGAGCATCATGAGTTCAATTCTTCAAACTTTCTGGCTTCTCAGACCACTTGATTTCAAGAGTGCTTCATCATTTTGGTCTGACTTATTCTTTCTCTTTAATAGAGGTAGAATAGGCAACAACTTGCTTCAAGGTCCTTCCTCATTTGAGACTGACCTGTTTGAAAATGTTTTTTCTCCTTTCTTTATTGAAGAATGAAAGAATTTTATAAAGTATTGCTCCTTTCAGGTTCACAATATAATCAAATCATAAACAACGAGTTTAATGAATATCAAATAAATCAACTACACTTTTAAATCATTCAAAAATCATAGTCCTATGGCAAGTGTCAAAACTATTGACTGATTTGAGGTGTAGGTTAGTTCTGGTAAAGTAAGGTCTCTCAGGTTGGTTCAGTATGTCGCTTCGGGCTTCCACTAACTTGAAGAAATAGTTGTTATGCTCATGTTTGTAGTAATACTTCTTGTTTCCAGACTCTCAGGAATGTCTTTGGGATGTGAGGTGCTTTATTAAGAGCTTAAGATCGTCTCTTATGTCATTGTTGCACCATTCATTATTCGAGTTCCCTTTTCAGGTTTTCAACTCGAATCCTCCTTTGGTTTCAAGATGTTATTTAAAAATTTACATCTTGAACCCCCCTTTATCATTTTTTCATATCATGCATTAAAGATTTTAAAAACCAATTTGTAAATAAAAATCAATCTTGAGAGGCGGGATGAAATCTGAAGATATTCTCTTTCACTTAGAAATCCATGTATGATTAGAATGGACTTTTCTGGTACGTAACGTAGGCCATGGCTTATGGTTATGAAAGAAAGGGATAAAAAGGCCCAAGTAAGTGTTTAAAGGTAATCAAACCAAGGATCAATTCATTCTGATGCCTTCACCTTGCCTTGCTTAACTTGGATCTGCTTTGTTGGGGATTTTTCCATCATCTAGATCCCTCTAGACTGCCAAATTTTGGATTCATTTCCATTTTCTCATATCTCCAGCATTTCTTGCTCTTCTTGTTTGTACTTGATCAATCTTGTAACTTGAGGCTCAATAAGTTACCCATCTTGATTCAATTTTCCTTTTTTTCTTTTTTTTCCTTTTTGTTTTTTCCTTTTTCTTTTTTTCCTTTTTTTCCCTTCTTCTTTCTTTTCTGGATAAGTATAATACTTCAATTGCTTTGAGCATCTCCTTTTCCTTTTGCATTTTGGAGATTTTCCATTATTCTTGATTGGATTAATCTTCAAGCACTCTGTATTTGACATACCTTGTAGTTCAAAACTTTCTTAACTTCATGGAAACTTGTCTTCGTAATAAAACTGTATTGAAAATCTTTATTCTTGTGAGCAAATATCCTTCACTTTACCCCCCAATGTAGAGGGTGATCCTTGGTTAGGGTTGAATTAGAAGAAAAATATTCAGACTCAAATGAGGATAATAAAGGATATATATATATATATATATATATATATATATATATATTAAAGGATAAATGAAACAATACCGTTCATCATCTCATACACAGAAACCTTTGTAAAAAGAGGTATCCACAGGGGGATGAATATTCAAGATTAACTTTATTTACATGAAAAAATGTAATTAATGCATGATATATTTATTTCAATCAATCACTTTTTCCTTCTTCTTTGAGTATGTCCCAATCACATCGAAATTATCTTCGATAAGTCGGTCCATGATGCCTCATCTCGTCTCTTCTTGCAGGAAGATTCCCGGATAATTGAAAGTTTGGTTCTTTTGAGGTTTTTTTGGTTTATGATGGTATTGTATTTGGAATGTCAAATGTGTGACTTTTGAGGTCATATATATGGTGGAAGGGGTTATATCATAAACCAACCAACTATATCCGAGAAGGTAAACATCTAGAGTTTGTGTCTCAAAAACAAGTAGAGACATTTCTTCAGAGTCTCAGATAAATGTACGGTCAAAATTTGGTTTTAGTAAGGATCAAGTAATTGGCGTTGGATGGGATATGGAAGATATAATTTTACCACTTGCCAAAGATCTATAACTCTTGAAAAATTAAAAGAATATTTAATCTACTTGATACTCAATAATCTCAAGGTTAAAACTTGATTCCTTGCTCATAACCATAAAAGCAATACACATTTATTTATTGCACAAAAGGTGGAGAAAGGAACAAAAAAACAAGTTCAAACAAGATGCTGAAAATAGAAAGTACTACAGTGGTAGATAACACTTCCACTTGTTTATGCATCATGCCTCATTATTCCTATAATGTTGGGTGTGTATTTGGACCAGGGTTCTTTTCCTCATTTGCCCCCCATTTCTTGATCATTTCTGGTGTCAAAACCCCTTTGTCAACAAGCATCTCAATTTCTTTTAACAGTGGCCTACAATTGCCTGTAGAATGCCCCTTTACCCCCAAGTGGAAATTACAAACACTATCTTGATCATAGCTATGAGCAGAAGGGTTTGGTGTCACTTTAGTTGGTCTTGGTGTGATGTATTGACCTTTAACCAAATGAGGATACAAGTCTGAAATGGAAGTTTGGAACACTTCCAAAGTTTTTATTGATCGCATGACTTTCTTTGGTCGATTCGAACAGTTACTTGCTCTTTTTCTTTTGCAATTGCGAGGACTCTGGATGCGACACTCATTCACATGATCAGCTTTTGCTTTTTGATCCGTCGGGCTCCTGGATGTGACTTTTGAGTTTTCTTCATTGATTACATTCTCATATAATTTTCCACTTGTCACAAGATTCTCAAATTCCTTCGTCGGGTTTGCCTGCATTAACTCGAAGAAAGGCGCTGGAAGGGAATCACGAAACATACGTGATATCTCTTCTTCTAACATGGGAAGTTGAACTTGTGCTTCCACTCCTCTCCATCTTAAGGTATATTCTTGAAATCTTTCATTGGTTTTCTTGTTTACTCTTCGAAGATCCATACGTGTTAGACTGGTCAACTGATTATACCATACTACTGCTGTTCCACTGAGGCTATCATGGAATGAGTGAATTAACAGATCATCAAAACTTAAATATCCTTCCATTTTCTGCAAAACATTTTCAGGTGGATTAGGGGACAACTGGTGCCTTTGTATTTCTCAAAATCTGGCATTTTGAATTCATGGGGAATAATCAAGTCTGGAACCAAGCTGAGCTCTCTTGCTTCTAATTCTTTGTGGGAGGCATTAACACTTTTCATATTTCTGATTGATTCATCCATCTTCTTGAATCTCTCCTCATATTGTGAATAATTAATGAGGCTATTCATTGGGTTCGAGTGGGATGCCCCAGGTTACGTTATCATTCTCGACTCTTCAATCTGACAATATGGTTGCTCTTTATCATTTATTATCTCTTCTTTATCAGATGTCATCCCCTGAATAATTTGATTTGATCCATCTGGTACTGAATCTAATGTTCCTTTCCTTATATCCTGAGGTAACCCTGTCAATTGTTCTGGCCACTGATCTT